CTTGACCCCGGGGAACCTTGCAGGAGAGGAAGGGGGAGCAGTGAGAGGCAGCCTCGGCTGCTGGCACCGTCGCTTCCCGCCCCAGCCCCACTCCCTGGAGTGCTGCCCCCCTCTCCCCCTAGACTCACTGGTTGAAGAGCATGGAGAGCATCAGCTCGTTGGTCTCCTCGGGCAGGTTGGTGAGGAAGAGGATGTGGTTGGGCGGATTCTCCGAGACCTGTGGGGAGAGGGGCCGGTCGGAGCGGGGAGGGCGGGGGCTGGCATCCCCCTGGGTGGCAGGATGCAGGCAGCACCAAGTCCGAGGACCCGCAGCCGGGACAGGCACTTGCCAGCATAAAGTCCTCCCGCAAGAGGAGAATCAAGACTGGCAAAGACGTCACCAGCCAAGCTTCAGCAGGGCCGGCTTCTCCAGGACGGGGACCTGCAGCCCTTAGGCACCCCATAGCCCCAGCCCAGGTAGCATTAGAGCAAGGAGCTCAGCACCAGGTCCCGCTGCCCCCTGCCCCGATCTGCGCCTGAGCCCCGACAGCAAGGCCACGACTCCGCTCGCCCCTGGGGAGAAGGGTCCTTCGCCCTCCCCTGCAACGAGGAAGCTTCACCATCCGGAGCCACGGGTGGGTTTGGACGAGACCGAGGGGAGCCCGAAGCCCGGGCACACGCGGGACTCACCGGCTGGGCAGGAGGCATCTGGCCAGGCATCATCTGCTGGGGGGCCATGCCGCCCGGTGCCATGCCTCCGGGAGCCATGCCAGGCGGCGGGATCATGCCGGGCGGGGGCATGTAGGGTGGCTGGCCTGGCATGTGGTGCATCATGCGGGGAGCCTGGTTCATCGCCATCCCCTGCAGGCGGAGGAGAGGAGAGCGGCTTAGCCGCAAGACCCCCGTGCCGGGCACGGCCGTAGCACCCCGGATGCCAAGAGGGCCCGGCGGGGGCCGCCCCAGGCCTCGACTCACCGGCACGGCGCCCTGCACGGCGTTGGCCGCGGGGGCGGCTGCTCCCGGCATGGCCTTCTTGGTCGTCGGTGTCTCCTGGCCCTTGGGCTTCCTCTTCTCCCGCTTCCCTCACCATGGGCTTGTCGTAGAAGGGGAAGCCCTGCATGGAGCGCAGGGCGTTGGTGGCGCTGCTGATCTCCTTGAAGATGACGAAGGCCTGGCCCCTCATCTTGAGGCTGCGGGACACCAGGATGTCCAGGATCTGCCCGAACTGGGAGAAGATGGCGTACAGGGACTTCTTCAGCTCTGGGGGAGGCAAATGTGGATTGGGGGGGGGGGGGGGGGGGG